CACCCCTCGTCAGACCTGTTCACATTACGAATGGTCATGGTTGCAGTAGAGTTTCCATAGCTCCAAGGGTGCGCTGTCGTTATCCTGTTGTCACCGTCAACATCGACATCAGTTCCATTTTTAGTCCAAGTCACGTTTGGTTGTGGTTTTCCTTCCATCAAGCAGCTAAAAGTAACGTTGTTCGTTTCGTTGGTTGTTAGGGCCAGTGGTGGAGCAAAGATAACAGGTGCATCTGGAACATTTAATAAAATGCTGCGTTATAACCTGTATACATGGCATACCTTAGGGCTTTGCAAATATTGCCGCCGTTATGAAATTGAAGTACTCACAATTCACTGTCAGCTGTGCCTCTTGTGACGCAGCAGGACCTCCCACCGTGTTGTTAACTTGACACTTACATCTGCCTTCGTCTCGCCTGTTTAGGTTAGTGATGGTCAGAGATGATTCCGTCCAGGAAGCATTTCCCGAGCGGGAGATCGTAATTCTTGAATCTGAGGAACCGTCCAATCTAGTGTCGTTCCTATACCACTCTGCATCGGTAACCGGTTTGCCTTCATAGCGACAGCTCAACGTCACATTCTGTCTTTCATTCCTTATCTTGGGCAGAGGATTTTTCAGAATCTTTGGCTTAACTACAATAGGTAAGCAAGGTAACAAGGTCATTGCCATCATGGCATTGTAGTTATCATATAGCAGAATATGATATAGCAGAATTGACATTTTTCACTATGACGTCACTGCTTGTTTACGTGGGGGATAGAATCGCCAAAGCCAATAGAAAATTCAACAAAATTTGCTCCTAGCGAAACAGTTTAATCACAAATGGCCTGGTTTTCAGATATAATATGTGTTAATATGTACTAAAAAATAGTCTGAGAGTTTGCTGGCTATTCTACTTCTCTTCATGGATTGATGCGGGTTTTAGAACAATTTTCGGTGAATTTGCGTTGATTTGACCCCCTCCGACGACCATGACCCTTAGCGTTTAAACAATAAATTGTTTTGATGTGACGTCATATTGAACTATAGGGCAATTGTTTTAGGTTTACGTATGGAATAACAAAGAAGGCAGACGTTTGTTGATCAATAATATGCCATGAGATTTGGTTGGAAAGTATTTTACACCTAAGTTATTGTACTTACGGTTGACTATTAATATTCCTGGAGTTGATTGTATTGTCTTTTTGTTGTTGTGAACGAGACACACGTAATATCCTTCATCTCTTCTGTTCACACTTGTAATGTTGATTATACTAACAACAGAATTGCCATTCTTTGTCTCGTGTGTTTGGGATGTTACATTTGTTCCGTTCTTCTGCCACCAAATAGTGGGTACTGGGATCCCTGTGGCATTACAGCTGATGAAGACATTGGTTCCCTCGACTGCAGTCTGGTTGGCTGGATGAGCAAGAATGGCTGGATATGCTAAAACAGTGAGATAGAAGGAAGACAGGAGGTGTAAGTAATCATAAAGAAAACTAGATAACAATTTTATACTTATYCTAATTACTTACTGTGGACAGTCAACCTGCCAGGATAAGACTTCACACGTACACCATTATCAGCAACACACATGTACGATCCTGAGTCTGAAGTTTGGACTGCTATTATATCGAGCTGTTTACCACCATTACTGTAGTGAAACCTCTCGTCTGACGAAACATTGAAGGCACTGTCATCTTTTTCCCACGTGACCGCTATTGGAGGAGTCCCATTGACGTCACATGCAATGGTTGCGTTTTCACCTTCGATCTTTGTTTGATTGGCGGGATGCGAGGTGACTTTTGGAGCGACTATAGACATTGAAAGGAAACAGTGTATTATATCAAACTTGAGAAGAACTGTCACTAAGAAACATGGAAGGCGAGGGAAATCACTGCCATCAATACCATTATACGTAGCAGGGAACAGAAATCACCTGGTAATTTCCTTTAATTAAGACGTCAGTTGTATTTTTTTCTGTCTCTTTGATAAAAGGATTTCGTTGGAAAGATAAGAACACAAAAGAAAAACCTTAAGTTTTTTAAATGCAACGATTGCTGCATGTTTTGGCCACAGATTAAACTTACCACCTCCCCACAACAGACCTTGAGTACCCAACATGTACATCGAACATCAAGTAATATCAGTAGTACGAAGACATGCCGAGTTAACAATGGCGGATCGAGGACTTTTAAAAGGGAGTGACTATTACAAAGGCTTTACTAGGAATGCGAGAAAAATGAGGTGGCTTACTATGGATAACACCAAAAAAATTGAGCAAAAAGGGAGGTGATAAGTCACGTCCCTGGTAGATTAAAAATACTCACGTTTAAGGGTTAAGGATGCAGTATTGGATGTCACACTTTTGTTGCCGCTCTTTGCAACACATGTGTAGTTTCCTTCATCTATGGTTTTGTTGAACTTGATTATACTCAGATTACTCTGTCCGTTGCTTGTTTGTATTATTAGTCTATCACTAGATGTAAGAATCGTTCCTTCTTTTTTCCAGGACAAAGAGGGTACTGGGTTCCCTGTGGCCTTGCAACTGAGTGTTGCATTGGTGTTTTCGAATATGTACTGGCTGTTGGGGTGGGTTAGAATCGAAGGGTTTGCTGAAATATACCAAATATGCATGACTTAGATGACTTGTTAATACATAAAAAAGAAATAAAAGAATGAGAAATGAAAAAAAAACGACAGTTTATAGATTTGCTAAAAGACGAGAAACGTCATAAGTACTGACTTACATTTTACAGTTAATGTCGCATTATTCGATGTTGAAATATTTCCGCTGTCATTAGCAACACAAGAGTAATTGCTTGCATCTGAAGCAACGAGTCCAGTGATAACCAGTGTACTTGATTGATTGTTTGATGTGACATTATGTCTAGAGTCAGAGGCAATGTTTGTTGAGTCTTTTGTCCATGTGAATGTAAGCGTTCGGCTTGCTGTGGCAGAGCAATTAAATGTGACGTCGAACCCTTCGAATTGTGATTGGCTGATTGGCTGGGTTGTTATGACTGCATCACCTGTGTAAGAAATCGCATRAACAGTTTTKAATATATAAACATTAGCTTGGTGACTTTGATTAAACAAACAACCGACCATGCATGCATAATCCATCGAAAAGATGATAAATGCCAAATGAAACCAAGGTTGAATTTCACTCAACCAACAATACGGACTTGAACTGATTAAGTCCCACCAGAACTAAATCAGATTTAGCTAAGTAGAAGCTATTTGCATTCAGCTAATTAATAGCTTCTGAAGATTGGTTCATTGTTAACATTAATGAAACAACAACAAGAAGGAACGGAAATGGCACAAAATTGAAGCAATTTATATTGAAAAGAAGCGGTTTTAGACAGTGTACTTCCTTCTCAAACTGACTTGTTTTACAACGCTCAAATCAAACACAGGTTTCTACGTAAAACGTTGCCTTGCCTTTTGAAATAAACTGGTCCTAATATAGGCGCATTAACTGGGCCAATCGTATTACGCGTTCAAAAGGAAGTAAGAGATGTAATGCGCATGCGCATGATAGCCTTAGTACTAAATCGCATTTCAGGCAGGTCTAAACTGAAGTAAGAATCTATCCATCAAAATTCAAAAGCAATATTATAAAATACCTCTGTTAATAAAAAGAACTATTAAAATAAATTTCCATCATGTATGCGGCACATGCAATCACAGACTGGAGGACTATAGTTAACTTGTGACCTAATAAACAAGCGAATTGGTCGCAACTTTCGAAAGAAAGATAACGAAAGCTATTATTCCAACCCTTCAGAAACTGCGATAGAGGTAAAGCAAGTAATAAAAAGTCAAGTTGATTTTGTTGCTCATATGCCAGACCCGACCACCGACTTACAGCCAGTTTAAATAGTAACCCCTGAGTACTGAAAATAAGAAGGAAACATTAAAACATTATTTGCAACTGTGCTGAACATTTCGGAATCGCTGTAGCCAAAACGTTATGTTATAAATAATGAAGATTAATTTTCAGTGCATTGAAAGTAAAGTTTCTCAAACTCCGCGGAGGACATAAAGCATATCACCGACAGATCACAGTTCATAGTATTAAACCGTACTGAATCAAGATTCGTCTAGTGGCTTTTTTTTTTTAACACAAAAATCACTTAGGATGATGTATTGGAACAACCACGAGATTTAAGTATTTTTTAACATTACTGAAAAGTTAATGGTTAAAACATTCTGTCAAAATGATTGAGATTACTTTCACCACACTGAATTGTACAATCATATATCAGGGCCGTATCCACCGGTACGGTTGGTTTGGTTTCAACCGGACCAACTTTCGGGGAAAAAATATAAGAAAAATATTTTCAAAATGCAAGAAAAACCGAAAACCCTCGAAAACCGGACCAATCAAAAATTTGTGGCTACGGCCCTGTATATATATAATTTTCAAATTAGGATACCCATGTAATAGGAACTTAATTCGTTAAAACACATAAGCATAAGCATAAATGCTGACCAAATAACTGATTAATTTAGTCTTTTCTAACAATTATGATTTAGTTTAGTGAACATAAAGTCCATTAGCATTAGTGACATGGTCAAATACTTTTTGTCTAGAGATGTCATTTGGTTCATAAATACCAACATTGTTGATGTGAATGTTTCTTCAATCCCTTTAGCGAAACTGAAGTTGATTTCACTTGTGTAATAGGAATGCGAAAGAAAAGAAGGCTGTCAGCAGTGTTTATTGTAAAATATTCATAACGGAGCGGTGGTCAGAAACCAAGGTATTTTAGTGAAGTATTGATATGCTATGTGAACAATCAATCCGAGAAATCTAGAATGGTTTAGATATGACTGAGCTTGTATGAAGCAAGACTCATTCTAGTAGCATAATATGGTACACCAAGTTAGATAAAGGGAATTGCCAAGACTGCTTTAGGAGTGAATTGCATTATACCCTTTAATAGGTATTCAAATAAGACCCCGGAAGTTWAAGGCATAGTTTAGTTCAAATACAAAAGAAGGACCACAAACTGAATTCCACTTACARGGAACCACAAATTCAAAAAATTAAGGTATCCATAGTAAAAGAACTAAGAGTTGAACAAGCTCTGTTTAGTATAGCTAAAGAATATGGTYAACCTAAACTAGGCCGAATATGGTATGATCTTTAAACTGGTAATGATGTGGCATTAATGCCGTGAATATATTCTGTACCTTGTTTGCTTACAAGCAACAACACACCAAGGATGATCCCTAAGCCTTTGATCATCGTGTTTCTATATTAAAAGACTTGGATTTGATCCTCTTTAACCGATTTGATCCATGATATTTCTCTATGAACAATGGCTGTGCAGCAAACACTAGTTTATGTCACACAGAGATATTTGAGATGCTTAGGATATATTGAATGTCGTCAGTACTGACATGGCTAAACAAGTTTCAATAACCAACAGTCCGTTAATGATTGGCCGGCTAAACAGATATTTAGGTCATATCATGCCCTAGCGCGTCCTAACAATATCTAAACAGTCACGCAAAGAAGCACTCTGATTGGTGTTCTTAGACAACTGCTATTTTTAACTTTTGCTTTCGATCAAGAAAACGTCCGCATACCAGTCGACGAAGTCAAGGCAAACATTAGTTAGTAGTGTTTGGTAGTGTATCATGCTAAGGTCCTACTGTTTACACAAACATCCTTCCTTCCCTTCCTTCTACATCATGCTATCCCTTCTTTAACTCTCTCCTAATGATTTACTGATATAATGGTAATAGATATAACTAATCAATAACAATAATAATATAATCATAATATAATTAATGAATAATCATAATTATAATAAATCATAATCATAATTATAATAAATCATAATCATGATTATAATAAATCATAATCATAATTATAATGAATAATAATCATAATTATAATAAATCATAAT